ATACTGCCCTGTATTATCCCCATAGCAGCACACATATTCCAGTTTGGTTCCTGGGGTGGATGTTTTGTTCCCTGAGGTTGAGCACATCTCCCCAGTGCACCATGAAGAAGATGCTTTTGAAGGTCTAAGAATGAAAACCATTTCTTGCTTCTTTTGCACCTTGAAAGCAACTGGGTCAGGTATGGAAGTGCAAGGAGCTCTCCCCAGCTAACTACTAGAGGTTGCTTTCTGTGTGGTTTTTGCTAACACAGAATGTAGCCCAGGATTTCAGAGAGCTTTTGGGGCACTTGGGCCAAATTTGAAATGAATCTAGATATTCCTTTTTTTTTTTCTTTTATTTGGAAAACTTCTGCAGACTGTAGGTGCTGCATGTTTCCAATCTGCACCTGGTATTTGCTTTGAGTCTTTGGATCTGTTGGATTCCAAAGCCAGGAAGGTTCATGCAAAGTGTTGTGACCCAAAACTGTTTAATCTCAGATCTGCAGTCTCGGAGCCACAGCCTGACTCGGGTACCTGATGAGTATCAGCTGAGCAAGCATCACAGCATCTGACTCCTGCCCATGAACCATAAACTTTGTCCTCAGGGAACAAGAAAGTAAATTGGCCTTTGTGCAGGAACAGCCAGCTAGGCTGGGGCCGTGGCTTCCTTGTGCTCAGTACCAGACCCCACGGTGCTCTGCTGCAAAATTCTCCTTACTTCTAAGTGAAGCCATATGAAGAAAAAAAAAAAAATCTATTCTTGAGAGTGGCTGAACCAACCAATTTGTTCAAGCCATTCTTCTGGTTGATTCATTTTTAAGTGAAAAAAATGCTGATATATTGAAAACAACTTGAAAAATGCCAAAAGGGAAGAAGGGGAAACAAGTTAAACCATTTGAAGCTCATAAAAGAAGGAAAAAAAAAGCATTTAAGTGCAACCACATGAGTGGTGTAAAATTGGTGTAATACTTAATCCCATGTTAGAGCACAATGTGTTAGATATGAGTTCCTCTAGAAAATGAGGCCCTAAAATAACCTAATATTTATGATTGAGATTTCACAACATGATCAGCTCGCTGTGCTGTACTTGCAAGGGAAAAACCCTCTGGTTTACAGATCCACTGAGATAGGTCTTCGTTTCACTTGGCCAAGGTTTTTACTTGAATGCTGTTCTCAACTACTTCTTTGGATCAACATAACCAAAAAAATATTCCTGAGAGCCTCAGCAGCACATGGCTTGAAGGAAGAGATGGACCCAGGTTTGAGGGACATCTCTGTGTAAGTGTTCTCAGCGGAAAAGGGTGATGTGTAGGAGAAATGGAAGGGAAGGGCACAAGCTGGTGCCACAAGTTCTTGGTTAAAATGTGCTGCACTGGCAGAACATTTAACAGAGCATTGATATTCAGCAAGGTTTTGCTGGACTCCCTTTCTTGCTAATGCTTTAATCTCACTTTGTCCTTGACAGACATTGATTTTACCTTGTGCCCAACAGTAATTTGCCCAGGCAGAAATTTATCCATCCAGCTGAAGGGCTGAGAGGCAGCAATACAACCTCCCAGCCATGGGAACATGGGTCAAGGAGTAGATTTGGTTTAATTACAGGGGATAAAAAGACATCAAACACACATAGTGCCTGTTCTCCTTGGTGTTGATTGAGCAGCCCAAATTGCAATGGGTAAATTAGTTCAAACAAAGGTTATTTACTGTACTGTGGACAAGTACATGGGTTTGGCTTTTGACAATATTTTATGTGAATAATAAAGTGATGTTGATTTTTAATATTTCATTTACTTGCTCACAGTAGATGACATAAGTGGCTGCTACCCAGCAATTGTGAGTGTTTACTATGAACTTTTTACCTTGTTTCTGAGGAGCTATTCTTTAGATACATCCATCATCTCTTCCTCATAATATTTTCAAATAGCAATATATTTCATTCTCTTTCTTTGTCTTTGGGTTCTATCTATCATCTTACTGGGAAACTTATGGTATTGTCAGAAGTTGCATATTATGCCCTGGATTAAGGCTGTTTAGCTTGAATGTGACAAGTTGTTTAAAAATACACTCTTATGCTTTGTATTCATTCTCCACTCCAAAACTCTCTTTATAACAATGTTATTAAAGGATTCCCAGGACTGATACAGTGGAGCTGGCACAGTTAGAAGAAAAGACTCAGCCATTGCCCAATTTACTTTATGCAACATGAATCTTAATTCTATTGAACAAACATCAGACTGCGAGGTCTTGGGAGATGGAGCCATTAGGGAACAGTTTACAGGGAACTGTAAACTTAACTGTAAATCTTAAAGCAAATTCCCAGGCCTCCTTAATTTCTTTTGTAGCTTCTTAAAGGGGTTGAAAACAAGAGGTGTAATATGGATTCACTTTATGCCTGGTTCATTAAGTAGTATATAAAGCTGAGAGCCCAGAATAAGCAAGAAATTGCTACAATAATAATTTCCAATTGTTCTGAGCATAGACATTATCACATCTGCAGAGTTTGGGGTTGTGGATGGCATCAGTGACTCCTGGGCAGCTCTCTGTGGGAGCTGGGAGTCTCTGTCCTGCTCACCCCCACCTGCACCACAGAACTGACACTTGCCCAAAGTGCTGGGTTTGATATTTTTCCTTTTAATTCCCACCATTTTTTTCTCCTCAGAAGCATTTCCTAACCCAGCTACTGAGTAGCAGCAGGATTCTAGATGTGGTTTCCAAAATGCTCCTTTTATTTAAAACCAAATTGCTTTCAGATAAAATCAGCAAGTAAAACAGATGAGAATGGATTTTAAATTTTTTCCTCTCCCAGTTTTGGTTTATCTCACTTGCCACAAGCAATATCTCTGAAATATATTTGTAACTCCATGTGCTGCACCCACTTTACAGATTTCCTGGAAGACTGTAGGGAAAGAGTTATAAGATCACAAAATTATTTGGGTTGAATGGGACCTTTAAAGGTCATCTGGTCCAATCCCCCTGCAATGAGCAGGGACACCTTCAGTTAGATCAGGTCAAACAAAGATCCATCCAACCTGACTTTGAATGTTTCCAGGGATGGGGTATCTACCCTTGGTGTAGGCAAGAGTCCATTTTTCCCATGTGGTGTGAAGTATTAAGAAGTTTCTTAAATTTGGAAAAAAAAAAAACAACATAGTGTTAAGGTCCCTCTTTATACAGAATCTTTGGTTTCTTGCAGGTTTCTCACATTCTCAGTTGAATGGCTCCAACTCAAGCTTTATGTGGGAGCTCTGTGCATCCACCCTTTGGTATCAACTCTCCTTTAAGCTGCCTAAAAGCATCAATACCAAGCCATTACTCACTTGTTGAGATACTTGGCCTCCCTCTCCTACACCTCCATTAGGACATTTCCTCCTCCCTGGGGAGCAGCCTGTGCTTGCTGCCAGCAGGAGGGAAAGCAGAATGGTTACTGAATTTAGATTAAACAGATGCAGGAGGAGCCTTGGAAAGGCAGGGATGGATTAAGTTAGGCTGGTGTTTAAAGCATCCCCTGCACTCTGAGGGAGGCTGGAAGCTGCTGAGGTTCAGGCTCTGCCTGCAGGTCAGACCCCCAAAATTAGCCCAGAGGGTGGTGCAGGTAGAGGGGCTTTAACTGCTCATTCACCAGTGGTCTCCAAGGTTAAAAAGATGCTTCATCAGAGCTGTGGTTCCTCTCCAAAGCAGCTGGACTCTGGAATGGAAGAAGTAAACCTTTCTGCTGGCTGTAATGTGCTTTCAAGGAGGCTGCAGATATGTTGGGGAATTTTTTTGTCTCCCCTGTAGAAACTTGTGAGCAAGTTACTCAGGGAATAGTAGTAGATGTTTCTACCAATCATCTGTGATTACCAGGGCTTCTGTCTGCAGGCTGCCAATCCCATAGGGAGGGAGCAGGTGGGGTTTGGGCTCCCACTGCAGCCCCAGTGAGGGCAGGGGCTCCTCTGGAGCTCCCTGGTGGGCTGGGGAGGGGGAGTGCTGCACAGTGTATCCAAACTTCAAAGAGGAGAACTCCAGGCTGTGCCTGAAATTCTGGAGATGCAGTTGCACATTTGAGCACAGGAATGTTTATGCAGCAGGGGAAATTCTGATAGGAGTGCAGAAATATTTAATGGTCTTTGTTTATCATCCTTTTCCAGCAGAAAGGAGAGGGAGCAGTGTTGTTTCACAGATAAAAAGCGAGTTCTTGCCTTTTGTTAATGTTACTGTCACTCTCAAATACTCCACCAGAGCTGGCTGACCTGCTGCAGGAGGCTGCAAAAAGGAGCTTTTTCTCCCAGCCTGGTAATGCACATGTTGTGGGAGAAGTGATGCTTCCAGGTGCCAGGCAAGGAATGCTGGCTGCAGCAGAGAGGCTGCAACACCAGGGCAGGAAGGATCTGGTGTTATGGCTTTGCCAGGGACATGAATGCTCTGTGTGTGCTGGAGCAGTATTCTGTATCAGAGTTTATTGTCTGAGTGGGTTTTTTCCTTAATTAAGGGTATTTTGTCAATTTTGGCATTTTATTGACCCCTTAGCCATTGCTGCCCAGTAGGGTGAGAATACAACAAGATTGATATATGAAATTAAAAATGTGTGACCAGATCTAGGCTGTGCCAGCAGTTGCCCAGAAGCATCTCTGACTCAGATAATTATTAGTATCAAGAGGTTCATGTTCATTGCTTTAATACTTTAAATATTGTGATTTGCAAACCTGTAACAGCCATTTGCATCACACAGGGACTGCACAGCAATGCTGCTTGCTCAGCAAAGGATTTTTTCCAGAATTTTGGGTCATGTTAGATCTGGGGTTCTCTACTATCTACAGTACTGATAACTTCAATACCTGCTTCCCAGATTGGTTTTTTCACTGGAATTATGTTGTGGGGGGAAAAATGGTATTTAAATTGTGCTGCATACCAATTGTTTTGGTGTTTGTGAAAGGGGGGAAGACATGAGATGGGTTCAAAGGGGAAGATCTGTGGTAGATGCCCTGCTGAGCTGGCTGTCCATGGCCATCACTAACCCTGTGCTCTGTGCCTGCCTCCCACAGGGCCCCCGGGGCGGCGAGGGAAGCCCGGCCGGCGCGGAGAACCCGGTAAGCATCACCTGCCCTGGGCACCGGGGTGACATAGGGGTGGCATGGGCGTGGCATGGGCGTGGCAGCCTTTGGGTAACGCCACCTGCCACCTCCACCTAACAGGCTGTGGAACAGGGGCTTCCCTCACCCCTGTGTGCTGGCCATGAAGGGTTTTGTTAAAAACTTTAAAAAAAAACAAACAAAGCCAGCTCCCAAACTCCTAAAAAGCAAAAACAAATTTAAAAAACATAAAAGGAAGAAACCAACCAATCAAAACAACAAAAAAAAACCCAGTTCCACTCAAAATATCCACAGCTGTTATATCTTTTGTCCATCCTTCCATTTCTCCGTGTAGCATTCAGCCTCATCACTGCCCCACCCAACATTGAAAAGGGACAGTGAAATAGGGAAATAGGGAATGGAGCATGGAAATAGGGAATAGAGCATGGAAATAGGGAATTGAGCATGGAAATAGGGAACTCCCCAGCCATGCTGGATGGGAGGTGTGCACTGGCCTGTCCTCTGCATGTGGCCATATCCCTGTGTTTGCCAGCCATGGGGTGGTTGTGTCTGCATTTGGGAGTCAGGGATAACCAAACCTCAGCCACCAGCCCTGAGTATCAGTGTGCCCTCAGCCTGGCTGAAACCTCAGAGCAGCCTTGCTGGGGGTTCATTTGAGCTGTAATTCTGTGTCTCGGTCACTTCAGTGTATCTGGTGAGGTTTTGTGCCTGTCTCTGAAATGGGAAAGCACTGCTCCTGTTTCAGCTAGGGAGAGGTGGTGTTTGCATCTTGCTCTTGGGTCTGAGTGCTGCTGGAGCAGGGAGAGATGCAGCTGGTGTTGCACTTTCTCAGGAAAATTGGCTGGGATGTGCCCAGAGAGCCAGGCAGGTTTTGGGATTGCCTCACTGTGCCAGAAAGCAGCACATGAAATTACATATCCCAGCTCTTGGGCTGTTGGACACTGATAGAATGAACGGGAGCCAGTGGATTTTCATTTAGTGAGGAGACTGAATTCTGTCCTTTGCTGCCTCTTGCTATTGAAAATTCACAACTGGGATTTCAAAAAGGGCAGCATAACTTTCTGATCACCATATTTTAAACAATTTTTTTAACTCTGAGGGAAGGAAATTGAGGGGATTCTGCTGCACATCAGCAGCAGCAGCATCTGAACTCCTGGACTGAGGGACAAGAAAGGCAGGCAGGCAGGCATTTCCCTTCTCTTCCACTGCTGGTATTCCTGAGAGCATTAGGGGTTTTCTGAGATATTTTAGTTCCTGAAGCATCAGGGATTTACTCCTGATCAAGGGGTAGGTGCTGATGGGGTGGTGGGGGATCCCAACCAGCTTTGTTAATTTGCTTCATTTTCCCAGCAGCCAGGCTGTAGGAACAGCCACCAGACAGCTTTGATTATTTTCTTGGTTTTTTTAAAAAAAAAACACCTAAGGGCTTTAAGGAGCACAGTGGAATACAGCATTCTAGCAAGGGCAGCTGGAGAGGTCAGCCAGTGGGTCTGGTTTTATATGCAGGTATTTGTGTAAACACTGAGCAAGATGTGCCTCTGGTCCATACAGAAATCTGGGAGGTAACACTGGGCTCACACATGCCCTTAAGTCTCTTCTCCTTGCTTCATGCCAAACTCTTGAAAAGCAGCAATTTCCCTCATGCTGTGGCACATCTGCAAATGCACTTGAGCATCCCTCTGATGGAGCAGAAAGCTGCCAGGGAATCGATGCAGAGCCAGCAAGAAAACAAACATTGTAAAAGAAAAAAAAATAGAAAAGAAGACATTAATTATTGGCGATAAAAAATTCCAAACCTTAGTAACAACTTTTTAAATTTCTGTAATTGTGGAGGAGAATGGAGAAGAGTGCAGCTGCCACCCACTGCACACAGGCACATGCTGGGGCTCCCAGTGCAATCCCAGGAATGCAGTGCAGAGCCTGCACTGCCCCACTGCAGGCACACAGGCAGCAGCCATCCTGCTGTGTGCTGCTTTTGGCTGAGCTCACCGCTGTTTGTTTCTCCAGATAACTTGAATATATATTTCTATATCTGTTTGAGAACCTGACCACACATAAACTGGGCCCTTGTTCCCTCGCTACAGCTGATAAATGTGAATAAAACTCTGTTTGTGTAGCATGCTGGTGTCCATCCCCAGGGACCCTGCCTGCTTAGGGCTTCACAGCCTCCAGACAAAGGATGTTGAAGAGCCAGAAGGCTCAGCCCTGCCAAGGGAAGTGTTTTTCTTTGGCCTTTGTTGAAATAGTCATGTTGAAAAAGCTTTTCAGATTATATTGAAGCTTTCAATGTATATCTCTAAGAAACAAGCAGAGAAACTGTTAAGAGATACTCCTGTCCCTTTTAATCACACCCTCTTGTTGATCTAAACCAAGACTGAATTTTGCTTTTTTCTTCTGCCATGATGGATTCAGATGAAATAAATTAATCCTCCAGCTCTGTTTCTCTAAACTAAGAATTCATCATCATGAAAACACATTGGGACAACTGCTCTCCTTCACAGATATGCACCATACCATAAAAGATTAATTTTAAAACCATTTCTGGCAAAAAAAATTTAACTATTTAGACCATTTGGACGTGGGACAAGCCTGGCTGCACATGCTTCAAAAGCACTTGTTAAACCAATGGGGTGAACCCCCATTGCCCCCAGGACAGGCAGGGGGTCCTGCTAGGCCTTGCCTCTGGGCTGATGGTTATTTTGCTGTAGAGAAGCCTAAAGGGAACAGGTTTTCCCCTGGGGAGCCCTGGAGGGCAGAGGGGGCTGCACGGAACCCCATCTTCCCTTTGGGTTCACATCTCTGGTGGCAGCTCCAGCTCCCCATGGTGGCACAAAGGTCCCCCTGTCACCCTTCCCTGAGCTCAGACACAAAGGTCAAGTACCTGGGGAGTGCTTCTGTCCCCAGCAGCCCAGCTGAACAAACCAGGGAGTAACTGAGTCAAATGCCTCCATCCAACCCATTTTGATTTCCTCTCTCCATCTTCTGGCCCTGTGGGAATCACTGCTGCAGCAGAGGAGCAGTCCTGGGGCTGGGCACATCCACTGCAAAAGAGGCTGCTTTTAAAAACCAATTTATCCCACTGTTGCTACCATGAGGCCAGAAAATTCCCACCAGCAGCTTCCCTGGGGGATGTCACTTTGGCTGTTTGTTCTGGTCCAGCAAGTCCTGAGCTCCATCCCACCCTGCCAGGACAGACACAAGGGTCCCAGCACCCTTATTCCTGCACATGACCATCAGCAGTTCCTTTTCCAGCTGGAAACAAGCACAGCCTTGAAGAGTCATGTGCAGCCACCCATGGAAGCAGTGTATAGAAAGAAAAACACATTTTAATACAATTTTATGTGGGATTTTCAGCCTTCTCTCACTGTGGGGCAGAAGAAAGGTTTTGCAGCACTTGCTGGCGTGATTGGCCCTGACAGCCAGCCTGCTCATCTCAGATGCAGTTCCTTTTCCTTGCCAAAGGCAAAATCAGGTTTAATGTCATGTTAGCTTATTTTTCCAATGTGATATGTCCCAGTGAGGACACAGTTCAGCCGCTGGAGTGAGCGTTTGTGAAATCACACGGATTTTTGCCAGGGACCTGGGAGGTTTTGCTTCCCCTCTTGCTGCCAGCTGTGTGAGCAGGATGGGGTAGGGATGCACAGCCCTCACGGGGCTTTGTGTTTATTGTTTTAAAGATTGAGCCATGCTGGGGTGTTCCTGAAGGATGGAGGAACAGGATCCAGGATTTGGGAGCTTAGTTGGAATGTTGGTTCAAAGGCTTTGCACAACTAGATGGTGGGAGATATGTTCCTGTCTCCTGGAATATCATTCTGCTTTCTTCCCCTGGCTTAACAATTGATCCAAAAACTGAAGCTCAAAATAAACCAGGAGACAATCCACATGAAATGTTCAGCTTGGCAAGTCTCTGAGTAAGGCTCTGCTCCCCAGGACACAAACACCCAAAGCTGATGGCTGGGGTGCTGTGCACCGGCTGTTTGCATCAGTTGTGCACAGCTACAGCCTGGGGGGACAAACGTTGGCTGATTTAGGCACAAAATTCCCTTTACAGGTGGGCCTGAGAGGGCATTTTTTGTATGAAGTGTTATTTCATTGGGAAATCCTGACTTGGCATAATTTCTGTTTCTGGCAGAAAAGGTTTTGCTTACAAAATGTTTTCATCTCAAAAGTTTTTGGGGAAATGTGTTGAAATTTTGCTATGGGATAGAAGTCTTCTGCTCACCTCCCACAATTTTTTCTTTTTCTTTACATTATGCTGCAGGTATTGCCTGAATTTGAACTTCTAACAAAGATTTAATTCAAAAGGGTTTTTGTTAGTTTGGGACTGCTTTTTTCTTACAACCATTCTGTTTGTGCAAATATCCCAATTTGGAACAAGAGGGAATCTAAAGCTTTTTTAAAAGGAAAAAACCAATGTGATTTCTATGCAGGGAAGGCTTATTTCTCTCCCAGCACTATATATACTTAAAATCCTACATTTTACATATCAAAAACCCATTAGCCTTGTGATTGAATAAACAATTATAAATATACAGTTGTTGTTACATATGGGGCTGCATGTGGGTAAATCACACAGATAATTGTATTTATTTGGGGATTTCTATTGCTCCCCTATTTCTCACTATGAACTGCCTGTGACAGCCTCATACCCAGGGATGACTTCTGCTGAACTTCAGGAAAATCTAATCTGGCTCTCAGTAATGAGCCTTTCCTAGGAGAGGATATTCCCTGTGTGCCCCAGCACTGAGGCACAGATAGGAGTTAGAGGTCAGGACACAGTGACAAACGAAGTTTTTGCCACATTCTGTGGCTTCTTATGGCAGTAGCAGTTGTTAGCTTTTGTTATCCATGGCTCTGTAACTCCCCTTACAGCATCCTGAATTAATAGCTCTATGTGTATGTATATACATCATGCTTGCGTTTAAATACACACAGCCATGTATTAATATTGATTTTTTGACTATATTTTTTTACATCTTCAGATGGCCACAGATGCTTGTTTGCTACCTTGGGGACGGGCTATTTGCTGCAGCAAAATCCCCTCTGATTCTTCCTGAGCTGTTGCAAATGTCTGGCTGGTTTTGTTTCCCCTGCCTGGCTCTCTCCTCTCATGGCAGGAGAGCTTGCATGATAAATGACTTGCAGATTTAACAGAAATATCATCTTATCCCAAAATTTCCAAGCTGAAAAAATACTTGGAAATAAATGACTGTGACCTGTCATTTCCCATATGTTTGTGTACTGCTAGGGATGATGCTGCTGTGACCCACTCGGGCTCTGGATATACAAAATAACATTCATGTTGGTCAATCAGGAAATCTGGGTCATTAATTTTTAATGAGTTTTGATTTTCACCTCCTGCTAGCACAGCTGTGCATGTTCTTAAGGAATCTTTTTTGTGTTCCCAAATTCCTCCATGCCCTTGCATGCTTGAGCACAAGGTGTTCACTCCTGGTTACAGCAGCATCCTCCCTGCTCAGGTAAATCAATCATAGACCAAAATCTCTGCATTTGCAGGATATTTTTGTCTTTCTCCTCTGCCCTCTGAAATCAGTCCCCAAGTTAATTTATCACATAGTTTTCAGTACACAAAGGCTGTTTCCAACTTTTATTTGTTGTAAGAAGAATTTCCAAGTTGTTTCATTCTCCCTTGCAGCCTCTCAAACTGATTATCGCCAGTCAAAATTATTAGCAGTAAATTCTGGCAAATTTCTTTGAAAAGACCATAAATCTTGTGCAATGTGCCCACAATGATGAGATGGCTGGATGAGGGGCAGCCCCTGGGTACAGGACCAGCTTCTTTATTTATTGTTGAATTGCAAAAATATTTGACTTTTTTCCATAAGAAACAAGTGCGTTGTGGCTGGGCTGTTGAAAAACGCATTCAGCAAACCAGAAAGTTAAGTTGTTCTTAGGAGGAGAAAAGATCAGCTAAATAGGTTTAACTTTATGCTTTAATGAAGATTTATTTAGCCTTAATTGGCCAGCAGCACAGTGAAAAATTGGTGTAACTCCACTGGTAGGGCTGGAGAACATCCAAAGGTGTATTTACAGACCCTCCCATTTGACTGATTCCTGAATTTGGGAGGAGAAAGCACTTTAAAAAAGCATTTACCTGCACTTGTTGGGGAGAAAATACCAGTAGCTGAGAAAAGGAAAGTAAGCAACAAATTCCAAAGAGATTATAATTGGTACATGATTGAAATCCCATATTAAAATAATTTCCTGCACACTTCTTTGAGACTTAAGTCTTGACTTTTCCACAAAAGGGCTCTTGTGGGTAGCCTGGTGTAAGTGAGTTAATAAATCAGGTTTATGATTCTCAGTTAATAAATTGGCACAGAGCCACTGGCTTCTGTATTCAGAAGAAATTAAAGCAAGGAGAGCGGGTTAAGCCCCTGTGCTCCTGGCCTGGAGCTGTCCCTGCCCCAGGTGTGGCTGTGTGGTGGCACTGACCCCTCCAGGTGACAGACACAGGTCACTGGGATGGTTCTTGGTGCACTGCCAGCCATTGCTTGCTGCCACCCCTCATTCTTAGGCTTGTTTGGTTTTTATTTAATTCAACTTAGCCATGTTTTTAATTTTAAAATTAATTTTAAAATCCTTGGAAAGGCATTGACTTGAAATATGTTTATTGAATAATATTATTGAATAACATAGATGAACAAAAATTTTTTATTTTTTTGCCTCCATTTTAAGCTTTCCCACATTTTTTTTCCCTTTTCTAATTGTGCTTCTAGTTTCTGGTTTTAATCAGGCAAGAGTCAGAGCATGAATAAATCCCAGACAGAGCTATAGGCTGCCTCATGAGCTGGAGTGCAACATGGATTGCTTTGGATTAGGGCTCAGTGCTCACCTCAGTGCAGCACCAGTGGGAAAACTGCAGGGATTGCTGTGGCTGTGGTGAACACCCTGCCCTGCTGGGGGATTTGGGGCAACGTTTCTTTTCCTACTGCTGTTAGAGCCAGCCTCAGACTGTGCCCTTGGCCCCCAAAGCCTGACCTGGGTGTGATGGGAATTCCCAGGGTCCCTGCTCAGAGCTAAGGCACTGAGCAGGGACACAGGGAACAGGAGCAGGGGCTCATAAGGGTGGCACAGGGGTTTTGTGACATGTTTGGAGGTCAGGGAGAGTGGGGCATATCCTACAGAAACATTTGGGGTCTGTGGAAGCAGCAGCACTGCCCTTGTCAGGTCCCTACCACACTGCTCCTCTGGCTTTTGTGAGTTTATATCCTGCTCCTCCTGCATTACCCAAAGGATAAATAAGGTCCATGGTGAAAATAGAGGTTTTATTAGTAAAAATTGGCACATTTTTCTGGCCACATCTGTCTCCTTTTTGCTGGCCACTGGTGGTGCCCAGGGCTGTGATGCCCTGAACATGGGCCCTGCCCTGCCCAGGGTCTTATGGGGGGAGAGGAAACAGAGTCACACTGTGAAAAAATGGGGAAAAAGTGGCTTTACACCCCTGCCAGTACTGCTGTGCCAGCAGGATGGGTGAGATGGGGCTGTAACAGGAGGATGTGGATGGTGCTGATTGAATCTGCAAAATCATCACATGGAATTGAACTGGAGTCCTAAATCATTCTGGTGTTGGTTCCTGCTTTCTGTTGTTTTATCAGATTGTACTTTTTCTTTAGAATTGACTCTTTTTTTCTTTGTTTTTCTTTTGTTTTCCAGGACCTGCAGTAAGTATCGTGGATTTTACTGTTGGATCAACAAAGTTAAGGCTTCCCCTTCCCCTGCCTTTCAATGTCCTTGCAAAAGCACAGCATTTTTTGGTGGAGGTGTGTCTGGAAACAAAATCAGTACCAGATGCTGCTGGATTTTTTTTTTTCATGATTGTAGATAAATTGTGGGGGGAATTTTAAAATGTTTAACTTGCTGCCCCAAGGAACTTCCACCAATTTTAAACTCAGAAAATATTCAGTAAAAAGGAGTTTTCCCTTTAAAGAGTTCTTTAGTCTGCCTCTATTTAACAGAAAGAGTGCTGTACTAATATTTAACATGTTACTGGGTTTATTGGTTCTAAAGCTCTGTCTTGCTTTTCTTATCTATTGTGTTTCCAGCATTTAATATGGGTTTGGTTGCCTCACAAGGGGGGCTAGAGGGAAAACCATAGCTTGCTTGCTTCTTTCTTTGAAGTCTTGGGTAGAATAATGAGCATTCCTACCAATGCAACCAGAAAATTTATGGGGAAATAGTTGTTTGAAGGGGTAATAGTTGAAAATGTGTCAACTCCTCCTTTCAAATGTTCAGACGTGCCTTTGGCTGTGCCACCACATCCAAATCTGTTGTTCTCCTGCTGGTTTTGGAGTGAGAATTTATGTTTTATTTGTGCCCTCCAAGTTGCTGAGGGTTGCTTTAAAAAATAAATTATGGCTATTAGGTGCTTCTGGTTTTCTACCTTTCTTCCCCCAAAGGAGGAGGAGGAGAAGGAGGAGGAGGAGGAGAGGTTCAGGCTGTTTGCAGCCACATTTCCCTGTCTGTCATTGCACTAGCAGAGGCATTTCTTCACGTTGTTCTCTTCCTATAGAGCCTCACTGGGTTGAAAGGGCTTATTTTAAGGAAAATAAATTTGGCAACTATTCCTGGGCTAATAAATTCCCAGTTCTGTTATGGTGACAAGGAGTGGGGGCTGTCCCATCACCATGGCTTTGGTTCTCCTGGGACTGGCAGCGTTGCCTGTGGGTTTAGTAAAGAGTTTTCAGCCCTTTGAATTTTTGCTTCTATTTCAAGTTCATTTTTTAACCTAAATACTTAAGAGGCCGTTGAGCAAAACAATTATTTGGTATTAAATAAATAGGATAGTGGGATATTGCCTGTTTAAAACTCCCCAAATACACTTTTAAGGGACACTGCCCATTGACTGAAGCACTTTGGCCAGTTGGGAATGGGTTTGTGTGGCTCAGTGAAGGTGAGTGAATGGGTTTGTTTGGTTGTGCTCAGAGGCTGCTCTGAGCCCACACGCAGCCAGGGCTGGTGCTGCCTCACGTGTGCTGTCTGCTCACGTTTATTATGGCCATCCAGCACAGGCAACATATGGTGCACTATTAATTTTTCTTTGTCTCTAGTTGGTTTCATTTCCTGGTTCCCACGGCACTATTGAATTGCAAACGGAGCACAGGGGAGATTTAACACAAACAAGACCTTTTTTTCCTTTCCTCTCCCCTTGCCCTTCTTTGAAAGACAACTCCTGGTTTAATTAATTTTTGGATTGGGTGGGGTTTGTTGGTTGGTTATATTTTTTTTAATCCTGCTTTTTAGCACAAATGGGCTTTGCCAGAGACTTCTTTAAGCATAATATAAAATAAGTCCTAGAACCCACAGAACCACAATATTATTTTATTTTAACAGTACTGCATTTATTAGTTTCTTCTGTTTCTTGATTTAGGCCAGAAGGAATTGATTACTTCTTACATGTACAGCATTACACTGCTCTAACTGTATCCCCAATTCTGTTGTTCCCTAGTAGCAGTTGTTCTGGTATTTTATTCTTTTGGCTGTCATAAGTTAGTTATGCATATAAAATTATTAGTATTTGTGGTACAGGATTTGTGGCTCATGGATGATTGATTGTCCTGTCTGTGAGTAAGGGGTATTCTGCTCAGATATTCTATAAAACCTCTGTTTTGGAGAGTATTAAAATCACATGCTGGGTAGGAAATTTCTACAATTGAAATATAGGCTTGCCACAGACTGTAATTAAGCATTTACAGTCACAGATATTAGCAGACACTTTATGTGCTAATGTGCTGGCTGGGGAACTCACCAGCAAGTGAGGGCAGGGTGTTCCAAGTGTTTCCTATTTATCTGTGTGTGCTCCCTGCCATCCCTCTCCATAAACCTCCTGTACCCTTTATCCCAAGCTGTAACTGGTTAAACGGGCAGTTGCTGGAGTCGGTGTTGATTCTGGATGAACCAGGAGTGCTGCAGGAGGCATCACAGCTGCAGGGATGCTTAGGGGAAGGGAGAACCCCTGTGAGTGGTGAGAAGGGGCTGCTGGAGCTGTCCCATGCCATGAGCAAAGCCTGACTCCAGTTCTACACCCACAGCATGCTGAGATCACCTGTTTGTGCAGCAGGTGACATTGCTGCACAGGCACTCCTCACTGCCTGCTTGTGTGCCAGCTGATTCCCACCAGCTCCTTCCTGGGTCTTGCCCTGGGTCTGCTGTAGCTCAGGGCATGGTCAGCAGCCCCTCGGGCTGTAAACACCTCTGGGAACCCCTTGAGGAGAGCAGAAAAGGTGAAATACCCTGACTGGGCTGTGATTTGTTCTGCTGATCCTGCAGCTGCTCTAGGAACTGCAGTGGGGTCATTCCCCACAGCATAAGCTGTGCTTTCTGCTTCACTGCAAATAAAGCAAAGCTTAGGTGTGAGCTGGGAGAGGGCATCCTGCAAGGAAGTTAATGGATTTAGAGGCGTAAACCTTCACTGAATCAAGTGCTGGAACAGGAGTTTGAAGCTCAGTGATCTCTGTCCTGGCTGATGTCTCAGCCTCCATGACTTCTCCCCAGCACTGGAGTATTTTCTTTCCTCTTGACACTCCCATCCCAGGGCAGCTTTATGACCAGGACCCAGTGTGTGCCATGCATGTCCGTGGCTCCCCTGGCCCAGCAGGGGCTGGGCACAGGCAGCAGGGATGGGTGCAGGTTGGCAAAATCCTGGTAAGTAGCCAAAGGGGGGGGGCAGGGGATCACAATCCAGGGAAATCCAGGGAAATGCACTGTAGGTGTGACCCCTCTGATAGGAAAGTTACCCCAAGAGGTTTGTCCAGAGTTGAGTGCCAGGGCTGGCTGGAGAGGCCGTGGCCCATGTCCTGCCTGCTGCTCTGTGATGTCAAGCTGCTCCAGGCGCACTGACTGACTCATGTCCCTTGTTCCCCCCACAGGGGCAGTCAGGACGCGATGGGTACCCGGTAACTCCACTGCTCCTTGATTTTTATTCTTTTCTGATCTGTGCTCTGTGGTCCTCTCCAGCATTTTCCATGACACTTGATTTTCCCTGCCTGTTTTAAGCTGCTTTTTTCACTTTTTCCCTCCTCTCTTTCTTCATTAGTAATAGCTCTTGAGGGACTTAGCTCTAAAACTTAAAAGCCTGAGCAATAGTCTCCCTTAAGGTTTATAGGGATGAAACGCTTGAGCCCTTTCATGGTTGTATTCATGCTCTTGTTTAAGAGTTCACTGGACTGCAAAGTGAGTGAAGGCTTTTAGGTTTGTCCCACTTGAAACTCTAAGAGGGGATACTGGTGAAAGAGCCTCAGGTGTTGAGGTAGATCCTCATTTGCCCATATCCAGAAAATTTTCCATGAGTGCAGAGCTGTCCTGCTGGATGTGCAGGAGGAGGGAGCCCTTGTTCTGGCCAGACCCCAAACCTCAGCCTCAGGCTGGCTGCCCTGTCCCTCATCAATGCCCTTGGATGGCCACAGTGCTCCAGCTCCCAGGGGCTCAGCAGCTCATCAGGGAGCCACTCCCAGGCAAGAATTTGGTGTAAGGCGTTGTTAAAAAGTACTATGTAAATTCCCTTGGATATGGCATAGAGAGAGAGCTTCCATCTCTGCTCCTGCTTTTTGAATTGATGCAGTGAGCTCTGCACTGCCTGTTGTTCTGGAAGGGGTGTATTGGCTTTCCTTAGCCTTTCCCTTCCTGTGATTGATGCCCTTTTTTCCTTTTTTTTTTTCCTTTTTTCCTTCTTTTTTTTTTTTTTTTCCTGAATGGGTGTGTTAGGAAAACTCCTTGCTTGTCTTTGCCACCACATGCCCTGGCCTGGCTCCCCTTGAGTGCCCAAAAACCACAGAAACACCTATTGAGTTCTATGTGTGCCAGGGAGCTCAAGAGAGGAGGATTGGAAGGGAATTCCAGGGATATTTGCAGTTTTCACTTCCCCTGGACCCCTGAGATCCTCCCTGGGGAGGGGAGCAGCATTTCCCCAGAAGTGGAGAGGTGGGAGATGGGGTTAATTTTGCAGAACCAGCCTTTGTTTCCCTTGCATCCCTGCCATGAAGGTACTCGGGACACCCCCCAAATGATGAGGACGGATGAGGCCGGCTGGGAGGGGAGGCTGTAGCCAGCAGGGAGGGCTCTGTGTCCAGGGAAGGGCTTTGTCTCCCTCAGGTGGCACCTGCCCGCAGATGCTGGAGCCAGGAGGTTGTACAGATGCCTCAGGGGTCTGTTGGAAATTAAGAGTTTAATTTATTAGAATTTAAGATGTGCAATTTCACTCTAATGGGCTGTTGACTGTCATTTTTAGGGTGGCTTTTTGCCCTTGTGGGGTGTGGCCAACCCTGCTGGATCAGCAGTGCCCTTGGCAGGTTTGTCCCTTCTCCTGTCTCAGTCATGTGCTTTAGTGGCAGAACTCTGAAAAGCAGAAACTCTGGGAGGAAACAGGAACTGTTCCCTGGGAGAGCATCAGCACTGTCCCCTGGGCAGCCTGGCACCTTGCCTGTCCCAGCTCCTGGAGAGGGACTTTGGTGATGCTCCAGCACTTCTGGGTGGTGCCAGGGACTGGGAATGACCTTAACTCTGGGAAAATGGCATTCACACCACCACAAGGGTTTTCCTCCTTCTCTTACCCCCAGGACCTGCAGTCCTGGTCCAGGCTGGTCTTATCCTGACTTTGGAAGCAGCAAACACTGAATTACTACACCCACATGGCTGTGGCTGCACTAATTAGCTGTATTTAATAAGG